ATTAAAACTTCATGTGTTTAAAAGCAAAGTAAAATGACCATTTTACTGTTTCTCTAGAATAAATGTATTTCTTATGGACATTTTAGATCTAGCCAACAAATGAGGCATTAGCACAGCTACTAATCATCATTTTCAATTTTTGTAGAGTTTGCAAAGTCTCAAGACCTGCCTTATCAATCACTGTCCATAGATACTTTTTCTTATATGAACGATGAGTATGTCGTCATCGCTCAGCCTTTTACTGGAAAGTGCATTTTCCTTGAATGGGACCATGTAGAAAAGACCTTCCGGAATTATGACAACATCACAGGTATGAAAAGGCTGACTGTATTTTGAATGGAAAGTTAAAGTGCTTGGGTCAAGGGCAAAAAGAAAAGATGAATGATATCAGGGAATGCTTTCGGCAAGTTTGTAGTTTAGTCGCTAAATCGTGTCCAACTCCTGCGACCCCATGGACTGTAGCCCACCAGGCTCCTCTGTCCATAGGATTTTCCAAGCAAGAATACTGGTGTGGGTTGCCATTTACTTCTGCAGGAGATCTTCCCAATCTAGGGATCAAACCTGGGTCTCTAGAACAGTAGGCAGTTCTTTACCAATTGAGCTACCAGGTTTAGAATCATTTGAATCCTAAATCTACCATTTGAGATTGTTCCCTAAAGCTAATTTCCTCAGTTGTAAAATGGTAATACTAATATCTAACTTGCAGGGCCCTTATAAAATAATGAGAGCACATGTTCAAGAAACTTAGCATAGGACCTATCTTAGTAAATATGCAATAAAAAGTGGGTTATTTTTCTTAAGAGAAAAAGTACTGGACTAAGAATTATGAGTTCTATCTAGGTTCTGCCACAAACAAACTAGTTAAGCCACACTCTCACTGGGTCCATTTTTTTAACTACAGAATGAGTTCATTTTAGATCGATGAATCTCAAATTTTATTGCAAAAACATTACTTCTGCAAAATGTTCATGTATGACTTGTGACATAAGGGTTTTATGGTCCAGTAAATTTGGGACCCATATCTCCCTCTTGGAGATTCATAATAACACACATTAGAGGCTCTGAGAAATCCTGCAGTGAGGACACAAACCTCTTTCTAGTATTTTTTGCATTTAATTTGATGATGGAAATCTTTTTCTTTTTTCCATGAAAACTTTTACTTAGGTCACCTCTTAAGTTTCTTCCTCATTTCAAAAACTTTTAAGTGTTAAGTCATAAATTAGAACGAGGCTCCCTCTGAAATCACCTTCACATCAGCGTTAGCTTCTAACACCCTTAAACTTGCTTCTGAGAGCACTCCCACATTCCCATAGAGGGTCACCCACTTGACAAGGCTGGGATGGTTATAACTAGATTTTGTTGGCAGTCATCAACCCTATTGCTCAGAGGATCAGGACAAGTTTTGGTCTTACCTAAGACGGAGGTGCCCAGATAACTGAATCCCCTCCAAACTGAGACCCTCCTAGAATCCTCTTTCCTTCTCAAGGAGGAAGGCTATGCTTCCCTTTCTCCTGAAGCCCCCTCAGTTCTCCAGTGGATTGCAGCAGGTCTTTGTGCAATCTAAACCAGCTTCTTCTTTCTTACATGCGTACAGTCTCTCAATTGCTATGAATGAATCTTTAGATGAACACTTGAAAGAAAAATGAATCATATATTTGCAGACTTCCAGATGACATCATCTAGTCCAGGATGATGAATATATGTCATATATGCAGTCACTATCCCCTCCCTCACCCCATATAGACACTGTTAATCTATCATGATGTTCTTTCCTGCAGAGGACAGAATCCTTCTTAATACAGTTCTCCAGGCAGTCCCAATCAATCAATCAATATTGGTACATGATTGAAAACTAGTAGCCATCTCTAATCTAGTTCCAACTTTCACTGTATAGAAGGGAAAACTGAATCCCAGAGAGGAGATTTTCTTAAGGTCACAGAATCAGCTGAGTCTTGAAAAGGGTCATAAATAGAATAATTTTGTCTATGCATGCAGTCAATTAATAGAAAGAGTCGTTGTGGAACTTACTACCTCAAAGCCCTTAGAGCTGCAGTTAGAAAAAGCCTGGGGCTAGATTTGCCTTGCTCTCTTTGGGTTTCAGAGAACCAACCTCCCTCTAGAAGATCAGAATCTATTATTGATAACATAAACTCTTAACAAAGGATACTGAGCTAGGCTTCTGACAGACCCCCATGTAGTTTTCTGAGATTTCCCAAAGTAACTTTCAGGAGCATCGCCCATGACTGTACCCCTCTTTCACTTTTCTTAAGGATTCTTCCTTCTTCTCTTTTGCTACTAGTGACCTAAAGCTTCAGAAAAATCCCAAGTGACATCTCTCTTTCCTTAAGGGAAAGTCGGTGGATTCTAGAGCTAGAAACCATTCATTACAGAGAACACAGCAATTGAAGATAGAGCTGTGGGCTACCCAGGCCACTGCTCAAGACTTGGTGAGGTTGTCCTAGGACCTTGTGGAATCCAAGCCCAAGTTGGAAGCCCCAATACAGCTAACTCCTCACCCTGGGTTAAGTTAAAAGCATAGGGACACTGGTAGCCTTGGGCTTGAATCCCAACTCTGCCTTCTAGCAGCATCGAACCTCTCTGACTTTCAGCCTGCTCACCTGCAAAAGGAAGGGTAATAATAATAGTTATCTCTTAAGATTGGTGGGAAATTTAATGAGATGATCTGGCAAAGCATAAAGTAGGTGCTCAATAAATGGCAGTTTCCACTAGAATTACTGTGACTAACTCATTGATACATCAGGGAAAGCAATGATTCTTTTCTATAAGAAGTGAGAGGAGAGGGAGCTCCTTGATGGTCCAGTAGTTAGTACTCACTGCTTTCCCTGTTCAATTTCTGGTTGAGGGAACTAGATCCATGTGTGGCTTGGCCAAAAAAAAAAAAAAAAAGACAAAGAAGAGGGACTTCCATGGCCATTTTCCAGGGTCTTCCACTGGCAGTTCAGTGGTTAAGACTCTGCACTTCCAATGAAGGGGGCGCAGGTTCAATCCCTGGTTGGGGAACTAAGCTCCCACGTGCCACATGGTGCAGCAAAAAAAAATTTTTTTTTTAAATTAAAGACAATGAAGAAGAAGTGAGAGGGAAAACTCAGGCTGTAGCCATGTGTCCTGAATGTCAACTACACACTGGATGTGACAAGACAGCTCTACTGTTGGTTACAAGGTTCCATGAGGCAAAAAGGCACAGTCTTGTTGCCACTGGATCTGATTAGGAAACTGGCTTTGCCTAATCAAACAAAGAAATCTCTTATTTCAGGCTGAAACAAGATTTTGATGGCAGCTGCATGGTTTCAGCCTGTGTATTAACATGCTCCAAGAGAAGGATGGCCATCCTCCTAATCTCTCATTTGTCTTTCCCAGGCACGTCCACTGTAGTGTGCAAGCCTATAGTCATTGAAACTCAGCTCTATGTCATTGTGGCCCAGCTGTTTGGCGGCTCTCACATCTATAAGCGAGACAGTTTTGCAAATAAATTCATAAAAATCCAGGATATTGAAATCCTCAAAATCCGAAAACCCAATGACATTGAAACATTCAAGATTGAAAACAACTGGTACTTCGTTGTTGCTGACAGTTCAAAAGCTGGTTTCACTACCATTTATAAGTGGAACGGAAATGGTTTCTACTCCCATCAATCTTTACATGCATGGTACAGGGATACTGATGTGGAATATCTAGAAATAGCCAGAACACCTCAGACTCTCAGAACGCCTCATTTAATACTGTCCAGCAGCTCCCAGCGTCCTGTCATTTACCAGTGGAACAAAGCAATACAATTATTCACTAACCAAACTGACATCCCCAACATGGAGGATGTATATGCCGTTAAGCACTTCTCAGTGAAAGGCGATGTGTACATCTGCTTGACAAGATTCATTGGTGATTCCAAAGTAATGAAATGGGGAGGGTCCTCATTTCAGGATATTCAGAGGATGCCATCACGAGGATCCATGGTGTTCCAGCCTCTTCAGATAAATAACTACCAATATGCAATTCTTGGAAGTGATTATTCCTTTACTCAAGTGTATAACTGGGATGCAGAGAAAGCCAAATTTGTGAAATTTCAGGAATTAAATGTTCAGGCACCAAGATCATTCACGCATGTGTCCATTAATAAACGCAATTTTCTTTTTGCTTCCAGTTTTAAGGGAAACACACAGATTTACAAACATGTCATAGTTGACTTAAGCGCATGACACACCAAATTCTGTGGCTGCCATCAGTAACTTTCTACAGTACCTGATCCGGATGAACTCAAATGCATGACGACTCTTCTTTTCACACTTGCAAATGAATGCCTTTCAAACATTGAGACTGCTAGAACCAAGCACTACCCATATCTCCATCTTTACCTGTCCAGTCCAGTGGTGTGGGAAGTTACCTTTTATAAGACAAAACTGAATTGTGTAACTGTTCTTTGCAGTGAAGATGTGTAAATAAGCGTTTAATGGTATCTGTTACTCCAAAAAGAAATATGAATATGTACTTTTCCATTTATTTATTCATGTGTTCAGAAACAACTGCCAAATAAAATGTTTACATTTTCTTTCATATCCCAAAGGTAATTATTCACAGGAGTTATTTTATTCTTGGTAATAGTATGTTGAGTAAAGAGTTTTATACAATGGGGTTATATTTGGGTTGAGAATTTATGTAGTAAATAATGAGTGAAGATGAACATTCAGATTGATTGCCTATCATTTATTATCAGGTTGATCAGCTGAGTTTGAATATTCAAAGGTGTTTCTAAAGGGCATGGTTTTGGGGAACACTTTGGGGTGAAATAGTGACAAATGGAAGAAGAGTAGAGAAACATGTCTGTTACAAGATGGCTAATTAGACAGTTAGGCCCATCCTTTCCTATGTGATAGCTCCAGCTAAAAACATCATTTGGGGAATTTATAGAAGCTAAATTTAAGATCTTGGATTTTTAAAGCCTTCTTCAGGAACTTCTAAATGTCTGACTCTCAAATCATCTGACAGCTGACAAGAGATTTTAACCTTACAGCACTTGCATCAGATGTATCCAATACGAAGGCCTCAATCTGACCAAGGATGCTTTGCTTCTAGACATCAGTTCTGACATGTTACTGACATATTGCTGAGTGCCCACAAGGCTCAGATCTGACTTTCTAAATTCCTGCTCCTGGATCACATGGTATGTCAGCACCTAGCACAATGCCTTTGATAGAGTCGGTTCTCAAAAACTACTTTTGAAGATGCACATTTTATAAACTTAAAAATAAACTTCACAAGGCCCTTTGATCTAATCAGTCATATTTACTGAGTACCTACTAATGGGGTATCTTTTCTGTGGTTTGGGGAGGAAAACAGGAATAGAGCATAGTCCTTGACCTGTGGGGCCTTAGAAGACTAACAGGGTGACTAGGACACAAAAAACTACAGAATAAGCTGTGAGTGCCAAATGTCACCTAAACATTCTGATTTTAAGTATCATAGGAGTGTCCAAGATGAGTTCCTGGAAGAAGTGGTCCTTGTTCGAACATAAAGGGGAGAGATGATTTCAAAAGGGAATCAGGGCAGAGGAGATATTCTTGGCATGATTTGGTTCTGTGTGCTGCCTTCATGGAGGGGATCAGAGCTTACTTAGGCTTACTGTTACTCAGACTCTTTTGCTGAATGACTAGGGGGGGCAGGTGGGACAGACAGCAACTCTGGCAGCATGTATCTGGCAAACTTGAGGCATTAAAGGTACACATAATAGTTACATAGTCTCTGGGAAGCAACACCTTGGGGAGCTATTCAGAGGAACCAGATTCCTTTACCACATGGGGAAGATATCAACTCTGACATCAGGGTTATGGGGGGACAAGAAGACTCACCCACTCCCAATCCTGAACATAGGGAGATCTGGCCTTTGAATGTCTGACTTTCTTCGTTCCTTTGTCCAATAAGTAGCACATGTGTGTTAGAGGGGGACTTCCCTGGTGGTGCTTGTGGTAAAGAACATGCCTGTCAGTGCAGGAGACTTAAGACTCGCAGATTCGATCCCTGAGTCAGGAAGATTCACTGGGGAGGGCATGCCAACCCACTCCAGTATTTTTGCCTAGAGAATCCCATGGATAGAGGAGCCTGGCAGGCTACAGTCCATGGTGTTGCAAAGAGTTGGACACAACTGAAGCAACTTAGCATGCACCTCTGTTAGAGAACACCTGCTTGATACAGATTGGGTTTAAGTCCTGTCCTGTCATGTACTGGCTTTGTCCACAGGCAAGTTACATGACCTTGCTGAGCCTCAGTTTCTTCATCTGTAAGGACCACGATGCCTACTCCAAGGACAACAGAAGGATTAAATGAAACAAGGCACACACGGTGAATTGAATTTTACAAATATGGCCACAACGATATTTCCCATCCTACATGCTCTATGAGAACCTTGCTCTAACCCCATCAAGACATGATGCCTAATTTCTTGATCCTTCCATCTGGATGGCCTGGTGACTGATAAAATGTAGTGGAAATGATGCAGTTTGACTTTTGAAGTGAAGTCATAAAAACAATGAAGCTTCTGCCTTGTGAAACTGGGAGGATCTCTTTTGGAGGCCTGAGCCACTGCATACAAAGTGCTATTATTAGCCCAAGCCACCACTCTGAGGAAGCCCAAGCTTTGGACAACAGCCCCAGATGAGGTCTCAGCCAACCGCCACATCAGCCACCATTTTTGTGAGCGAAGATGCCTCCAGATGATTTCAGCTCTCAGCTGTCAAGTCACCACAGACTGGCAAATATTCCCAACTGAAGATCCAGAAATCATGGAGCAGAGACAAGCCATTCCTAAGATGCCCTGTCCAAATTCCTGACCCACAGTATCTATGAGCATAATAAAATCGTTATTTTAAAAGGCCAAGTTTTGGGGTGACTTTTTAACAGCAATAATCAGAATAGCACATGGCGTGCTTAGCAGAGAACAGCACAAAGTGGTAACGAGTCCACCTGCAATGCAGGAGATGCGGGAGATGAGGGTTTGATCCCTGGGTTGGGAAAATTCCCTGGAACAGGAAATGGCAACCCATTCCAGTATTCTTGCCTGGGAAATCTCCTGGACAGAGGAACCTGGTAGGCTACAGTCCACAGAGTTGCAAAGAGTCGGACACAACTGAAGCAACTGAGCATGCAAGTACCAGTTATTACTAGTGGGCCCCACACCCAGAATATTGTATGCTTTGGGGTCATGTTCTACCTTATTGCCTTGATGTAATTCACTGTCATTTCATTTCTAAAGGCTACCTCCTGTTTTCTATACGTTAACGGTGTTAAGACTCTGTGCCAGGCACTCTGATGACTTCAGAGATGCAGAGATTTTGGATCTAGATTCTGGCCATTTGCTTTACTAGAGGCATTGACTATTTAAGTCAGCAAACAAACTGTCTAATTTACCTCGAAACTGAGACCCACAGATGTGAAGCAAATTACAACCCAGGCCTCCTGACACTCAGCCCAGTCCTTTCTCCATTACATGGTGCTACCTTTCAAAATCGAACCCTCTGATTGGAACCTGGGGTTGCAGATGGGGAGAGAGGTGAGGAATGAGGAGGCTGGCTGAGATGATAAATTCAAGAAAGACTGAGAAGGAGGACATGTGGTCAGGTCCATTCTTGCAGGAATCGACTTTTCTGAGAGTTGCCCTCTCTCTCTGTACCCCTCATCTGCCCTGTATTATGCAACTGGGTCATTTATACCCAGCCGTAAATGACTGAACACCTAAACCCCAATCTAAGAAGCTGGGCTGGCTCAGCCTGAGCCAATCCATCCTCCTTCCTGGATATTTGGAACTAGAGCAGCAGAATCTGAGTCAATTGGTTCCAGGCACAACACCTGTAAGGGGATGATCTTAAATCATGTTCCCTTGAAGCAGCGGGATTTACTGAAGGAGTGCTCTTAGGTAAGTAAGGGACAGGGAGGAGCACGGAACAGGGAAGATGTAAAGATGTACTTTCAGGAGAAGTCTAGCTTCAGCCTGAATCCAAGGGGAATCTCTAAAGCAGGAATGAATTGTACTACAGCGTGTGTTCTGCCTTGAAGCAAGGAGGGTGGACATTTATATCCCCATCTGATGATCGGTGACCAAAGAATGTGGGGCATAACCTCGCAGACATCTCCAGCTGAGAAGGTTCTAGTTGGCTAAGGGCAACCTTCCAGAGACAGGAACCAATGTGAGCAGCCATGCCGCAGGATGAGTTCACCAACCTAGCAAACAGCATCTGGGTGGATAACCAAAAGCATATGCTACAATGATGGTGTCTGAGGCACCACTCCAGTTTGGAGCAGCCACGGGGGTCTACAAACCAGAAGAGCAGAGGAGAAGAGAATGAAGCTGAAGCACAGAAAGAAGCAGGGGTGAGAAGCTACACAGTCTGAAGGAGAGAGGGAGGGAGAGGAAAAAGAAGGGAAGAAGAGAGAGAAGGGGTAACAAAAGGGAAAGGGAAAAGCGGACAGTAGAAAGGGAGGGAGGGGACTTTCCTAGTGGTCCAGTGGTGAGGAATCTTCCTTGCAATGCAGGAAACACGGGTTCAATCCCTGGTTGGAGAACTAAGATCCCACATGCCACTTTGAGCAACTAAGCCCGTGGGCTGCAATCACTGAGCTCAAGCACTCTGGAGCCCCCGTGCCACAACTAGAGAGTCCGTGTGCCCAATGGAAGGTCCTGCAGGATGCAATAAAGATCCCGTATGCTGCATCTAAGACCCAACAGAGTCAAATAAATTAAAAGGAAGGGCAAAGAGAGAATGGGAAGAAGACTGGGAGGCTTGGAGTCCCAGCTTGGGTCACCTGAGAACCAGACTCTGAGAAGTTAAGTGTTAGGTAGTACCTTTCAGACCAAACCCTGGAAGGGAGAAGGAATTAAGATTTGGCAAAGAGAGCAGCTGAATTGTGATGCAGTTCTAATATAAGCAACCCTGTAGGAAGCTCTAGAGCTGAGATGTCCTTTCTCAGTTTTCCCAAGTTGGACCAAGGGGATCAGACCTTTATACCTCTATCAGAGGTGTGCTGTCCCTGGAAGAAAGCATGGCCTTAGTAAGGCTGTTTTTTTCAACCAAGGCAATCCCCAAAGAGGGCAAACAAGTAGATACCCATCTTCTGGAAGTAGTCCCAGAAGCTGGGGAAATAAGTAATTTATTCCTGAATGAGGCAGCACAACACAGCATCCAGCCCAGAGGGAGACAGATAAGGAAGAAGGCTGTGGGAGAGGGGAGGGGGTGAGTCACCCTTATTCCTAGTGATTGCCCATTTTCCACTCCATCCCTCATGAGATCCAATGGTGTTGTTCCCTGCTGGTGTTGAATTCCTTGAGATACTTCTGTAGCCTTCTATTAACAAGTCACTACATACATACACACACATACACATTTTGTTTTATATTACTTTGTGTGGCTTTCTGTACTTGTCACAAAATTATTTTCAACTAAGTCAGAACACTTAGGCACAATGTACTATAATGTAGATATGATGGCAAGTACTAGATATTTCTGTCTCCTTTTCTTCTGCTACTCCAACTGTATACCTACACCTATGGACACAGAAAGTTCAATTTCATTGAAAAAGTTTATTGACCACCTAGTATGTGCAAAACACTATGGTATATAACTCAAAGAAAAATGAGCAAGAAATTGTCCCTACACTTAAAAGATTTGCATACCACTGGGGCTTATTTCTAAAAGGCAGCAGGCAGAAAAATTAAAGAGGCAAAAGTAAGTCTTATATGAGAAGTGAAATGTGACTCATATTTTCCCCTTTTTGCCTGTAGGTCTATCCTGATGGTGCCCA